CTAAATCTCTAAATCTCTTCAGTTTCCTCGTCAAATACAAGCCCGGTCTTGGTCCAGTGGCAATCCGGCACTTTTTCCACGTCGAATCTTCTCGAGAAGCGTTTCTCCAAAATTTCTTCATTTTTCGTCTTTATTACCCAAGTATCCAACCATCTGGAAGTCACTTGAACTGATTAAAAAACAACTTCAACTTACTTTCTGATTTCTTTCTCATCGATTTCGAAGCCTGGTCTATACCGCCAAAGTTCTGCCTCTTTTCTTAAAGCGCAATGACTGAAACAAATAATTGATTGGTTAATTGGCTAAGCTGGAAGTCACCAGAGAACGTCATTATGAACAAAAACGGAAAATCGCAGCTTGTAGCTACGCGACTTTCCGTTTCCATTGCTAATGACATTTCCGCAAAATGCCTATTTCTTAAAGTTTGGCTCTTTTTTAGATGTTGTGACTGCCAGATGGAAGATTCGTATAAGTTTTGAACCAATTCAGTGTTTAGAACCTGTTAAAAGCTGTAGATACCTGAGATTGTGAAAAGCTTCATTGGTGAATTGATAATCCCACCAACCGAACTCACCAGGTCGACTCCTTTGGCTAGAAATGATTGCTTTCATGCTCGAATGTTTAGTAAATCCTCACCTTTCCTTCCAATTATGAAAGATGAAATCGTTTCGGCTGAATTTTCCCTCAGTCAACCATCCATCTCGCACATAAGAATAGGATTTTCGCAAAAACTTGATCCCCGGAATGTTCCGGTTGTCAAGAAGATCCCTGACGCAAACCTCGTAAAGATAAAGCCAGCAGTCTCTTCTGAAATCAGCTTGACAATCCAAAGAGCCGAAAACTCACTTCGCTAATTCCCACCAATATTCGCATTTTGTCAGATTTGCCTCAAGTTCCGGGAAGTAATTGCGAATAATTCCACTCTAAATCAGCTTTTAAAAGGTGAATAGAGTCGTGTTTAAGATCCAGGATTGTTTCCAGGCTTGTTCCAGCTCATTTCAAGGGTTTTTAAGGCCTGGAAAACGTTTTTGAGAAGTTGGCCAGGTTTTTGGCCTCTTAATTGAATCTGATTAGATAGAAAATGAAATTTCGGGCGAACTGGAGGGCACGATATAGGGATTTGAAAAGAAATGAGGAATTTGCGGTAGGTTAAATAGTGACTCAAACTACCGTACCCCCGGAGTACTGTAACTAGTCGTAGATAAAAGAAAATGAGCTAAAACGCTTGTGTGGCATCCAGGATTGACAAATCAGGCAAAAAAAACTTAGAGTCACTATATAAAAAATCGCTAATTGGCTACTGTCGGAAACTAGCGTCGTTTTTTTCTTTTTTGCACTGCAATTTTGCAATAAAACTCTTGTGTGACATCCAGGATTGACAAATAAACTTTGGCCTGGCCTGGTCTGTCTGAGGTTTTGGGTATTTCTTCTCTTAGTCACTAGAAAACCAAAGGCTCTACTCTGGGCCAGGTTTGTTCAAGTCTACTGGCCTGATTCTGACCTGATCCTTGCCCTAGTACAGCCTGTTAGTCCTCAACTGATCAGCTTCAGCTGAGTTGTAGTCAGCTCAATCTTTAAGCTCAAGCTCAACTCAAATTAAATTGCACCACATTGGTGACATTCATTCAAAAGCTGGCTTGGGCAACTTATTAAAGCTCAGGCTTAGGCTGGCTTGGACTTAGTGCGAAGGCTAGCGGCTTGCGACTACGGCTAGCGGCTAGCGGCTAGCGCCTAGCTGAGCTAGTTTGGGCTGAACCCCCATTTTCTGGATCTCAGCCCGTTCCCGGAGTTAGGCTTAGGCTGAAACTAAGCTCACATGAATCGCCGCATTATCGCGTCCATATCTTCCTCCATACTCTGTTTCACTTTTCGCCCACATCATCAAGAAATCCCGGCCACGTGGATCATTTCTAAACTAGAGTGAAATCTCTTTAAACTGCCTACCTAACAATATATGATCCAGCCATAATCTCCGAGTTCATCACCCGATTCGTTAACACCAGAAAGGTTGAAGGGTTTGTTGGGATGAATTCGTCGATTTTTTGGTTTGGGTTGATGATGCCTAGAGGGGAAATGTTGGCTATGGGATTGCAGAGGATTGCAGAGGATTGCAGAGGTTTAAGCAACATGCAACAATGAGAAATCTCCCCCTGAACTCACCCATATCCGCATCCAGCATCACAAACCATTCATGTTCCGTCGTATTCATGAAGTTCGCCAGAATACAATGTCGCTGATGCATATACTGAATGATTTCCCAGTCCTTTCCTTTCCGCCAAACTCACATCTTCCATTGCACATCCTTTCACATTCTCCTCGTCATTCACGATCAAATAATAAGGGATTTCTCTTGATTCACAATAGCAAGCTAGTGATTTCTGAGCTGATTCGTACTCGTCAAGATTCGAAAGACTTTCCATTAACACAACGAAAGCATAGAGACCAGTCTGAACTTTTCAAAGCCTCAAAAAACAAGGTCCAGCTGAGTCTCTGTGAGCTGAGCCTCCCTGGACCTTGTTTTCTGGATCTGAGCCCAGCTTTCAAACCTTGTTCTTAGATGAATTCGTCAGCTGCTGGAGAAATAGACCAAGTGGATTGGTTCGGTGTTTTGGTGGGGAGGTAAAGCCTGAAAAATCGATGAGTGAAACGATTCGAGTTTTGCAGATATAGAGCTAGAGATAGAGCTAGAGATAGAGCCAGAGATTGATTGCAACGCTGGATTGCAATCCTTGATTGATTGTAATGCTTTAGAAGCTAGATTTAGGATAGAAACGTGGCTTGGGCCGGGCTAGATCTTGATCTTGATCTGGCTTGATCTAGACCAGATCTAGTCAGGTCAGCAGGTCTAACAATAAGCCTAAAGTAGGAGTCAAATCCTGGCCAAATCCTAGCCAAATCCTAGCCAAATCCTAGCCAAATCTTTGGTTTAAAGTCTGGCTAAACCCAAGCCAGATCTTTGGCTTAAAGCCTGGCCAAACCTGGCCAAATCTGGGCCAAATCTGGGCCAAATCCTGGCCAAATCTGGGCCAAAAGCAATGCTGATTGTTTTAAATCTCTTCAGTTTCCTCGTCAAATACAAGCCCGGTCTTGGTCCAGTGGCAATCCGGCGTCAAGTAGGAGTCAAATCCTGGCCAAATCCTAGCCTGATCTTTGGCTTAAAATCTGACCAAATCCTAGCCAAATCCTGGCCAAAGCTCTGGCCAACTCCCGTCTGGCATTGGTTGTCAAAAACCTGCCATAAAACTTACCACAATATTCGAAGAAAAGAACAAACATAAACAGTAAAAGGAGCGCAATCAGTAATCTCCTTTTCTTCAGAATTCGACATAAAAATAGTAGCTTGATATTTGAAATTAGCATTTAAACTTTCAAAAAAGCAATGCGAATCGTTTCTCTGACGACCAGAAACGACAAAATGAGGAAATTGATTAGGGAAATGAAGCCTAAGCCTAAGCATTTCACCTGCCAAATTTCTATAGCGGATAACTACCGAATTGTTAATTAATTTCTCACCATTTTCCTTTTAATTTTAATTCGGATAAATGAAAGGGGGAAAAAAGAAAGGGGAAAAAGAAAGGAGATAAAAGAAAGGGGATAAAAGAAAGGGGATAAAAAGGGATTTTGTTTTCCTCAATTTGTAGTACTTTTCTTGAATTGTCATTCTTGTCACACTTTTAAAGTTTAATTTTCTAAAATCCTGAATCTATTGAACTTTTTAGATATCGTGACATCCAGATTGGGGTTATTTCTTCGAAATTACAGACTTTACTTGGCAAATTTTCAAAAATTCGATGAGAACTTAGAGCTTCCAAAAATTTTTTTCAATCTTGGATTTCACAAAATCTATTAAACTTTTTGGATACAGTGACATCCAGATTGAAGTTATTTCTTGGAAATTACAGACTTTATATGGAAAATTTTTCCAAAAATCGAGGAGAACTTGAAAATCCATCAGAAATTTTTTTAAATCAACGATTTGAGTTTAAAATTTCAAATCTTTCAACTCTGTGACATCCAGATTGAACATATTTGCTAGAAATTATAGACCAGATTTGAAAATTTTTAAAAAAACCAAGGGGATCTTGAAAGTTCTAAAAAAACTTTTTTTAATTCTGGATTTCACAAAATCTATTGAATTTTTTAGATACAGTGACATCCAGATTGAAGTTATTCCTTAGAAATTACAGACTTTATTTGGAGGATTTTCAGAAAATCGAGGAGATCTTGAAAGTTCTAAAAAAACTTTTTTTAATTCTGGATTTCACAAAATCTATTAAACTTTTTAGATATAGTGACATCCAGATTGAAGTTATTCCTTAGAAATTACAGACTTTATTTGGAAAATTTTCAAGAAATCGAGCAGTACTTGAAAATTCTTCAAAAACTCAGAAGTTCTTTCGAATTCTAGCTCAATTCTAGCTATTTCAACTCTGTGACATCCAGATTGAACATATTTGCTATTACATTGAGTTAAAAGGCTAAATATCTATGTTAAAATGCTCAATGCTCTGCTAAGATATCAGTTTTCCATCAGGAATGAGATTTTCAGATCTCTAAAACTAAAAGAGTTAACGCAAATGATTCCGATTTTGATTTAGTATCGTTAAAGTACGAAAAAACCCATAAAGAGGCTGAAAAAAGGCTAAAAACGAAAAGATAGAAATATTTTTTTTTGATTTTTGATTATTTTGGTCTATAGAATAGGTAAAATATGAGAATTCGCAATTTCATCGTTTTGTTTTGTTTTGTTATTTGCTATTTGCTAGAATTCTATAGATATTTCTTTTAGTTTTCAATTGCTAAAAACAAATTTCCTTTCCTTTTATAAACACAACGAAAAAAAATCACAGAAAAGACGAAAAACCCGTTTTTTTTTGGTATCCGTACTCTTTTAATAAACAAAATCTTGAAAAAAATAGCTAAAACCAGCTAAAAAACGAAATAGAATTGAAAATATCCATCATTCATGTAGTTTAAAACAGTTTAAATCACAGTTTTTAATGGCAATTCACTGCCGAATCCACGTTGAACGTTTGCGAGAGCTTTGCTTGCCGATCTCGTTCTTTTTTCGTGTTTTTTATCCAAGTATCCAACGATCTGGAAGTCACAGTACAGTTTTTTCGCTTTTCTAGAGCTCACTTTCGATTTTCGGCAACGGTCACTCGGAAGCCGGGCTTGTAACGCCAAAGCTGGTAGGCTTCCTCGCCCGATGTGCAGAGACTGAAAAAAAGAACTCAAGAACGAAGCCAAGCAGCCAGCCAGCTAGCCAGCCAGCCAGCTAGCCAGCCAGCCAGCTAGCCAGCCAGCCAGCTAGCCAGCCAGCCAGCTAGCCAGCCAGCCAGCTAGCCAGCCAGCCAGCTAGCCAGCCAGCCAGCTAGCCAGCCAGCCAGCTAGCCAGCCAGCCAGCTAGCCAGCCAGCCAGCTAGCCAGGCAAATATAAACCTTAAATTATTGAAAGCATCCTCGGTGAATTGGTAATCCCACCAACCAAATGCGGCTCGATTGTTTTTTACTCTGAAATTTCATGATAAAGAGAGCTTTTTAGGAAATGGGGATACGCAGATTTTCATGCTGATTTCAAATATCTCTTCCGTTTTCTCTAAATGACAATCTGCGAAGAGTTAGAAGTGTTTAAAGTTTTGTTAGGACTGTGGTCATTTGAGTCTCCTTGCGCCCTCTTAACGGTCTCCTTGCCCCCTCTTAATAGCTTCCTTGGGGACCTGTTTCCCTGCAGCTGTGGCCGAGTGGTAAAGCCCTCGTTTCCAAAGCCAGACCTGGCAGGTTCGATCCCAACCTCGACTTTTTTAAAAAAAAGATGGTTCATTTGGGTATTAAGGGCCTCCTTGAGAGCTTAATTGCTTGCAGCCGTGGCCGAGTGGTAAAGCCCTCGTTTCTAGAGCGAGAGCTCACGGGTTCGATTCCCACTTCGGTTTATCTAGCTTTTTTTACAAAAAGGTGGTTTATTTGGGTGTTAACGGTCTCCTTGGGGGCCTGTTTTCCTGCAGGTGTAGCCGAGTGGTAAAGCTCTCGTTTCTAGAGCGAGACATTGCAGGTTTGATCCCGACCTCGACTTTTTAAAAAAAAAAGATGGTTCATTTGGGTCTTAATGGCCTCCTTGATTCGTTGCAACTGTGGCCTAGTGGTAAATCCCTCGTTTCTAGCGCGAGAGCTCATCAGTTCGATTCCCACTTCAGTCTATTCTTTGCTTTTTTTCTCGGTCAGATTAAATTGTTAAAGCCCACTTCTCTTTCCAATTGTGAAAGATGAAATCATGTTGACTGAATTTCCCTCCAGTCAGCCATCCATCCCGCACATAGGAATAGGTTTTCTCCAGGAACTGAAAGATTCGATAAACTAGTGTCGAGAAAAAAAAGGCGTTTAAAGTTAGACGACGCGACTGTACGACTGTACATTCTGGCTATTTACGACATTCTGTAGCCATTTTCGAGCTTACAGCTTTCAAATGTGGGAAATTTTCGATGAACCTGAACGCCTGGAATGTCAAAGTTGTCGAGGAGATTTCGAACACAGACTTCATAAAGAAAAAGACGACAATATTGTCTGTAAAATGGGTTTGGTTGATAGAATTGCTTGTTGAGTTTATAAAGAGCTTATAAAGAGCTTCTAAAGGCCTGCAAAGGCTTCTAAAGGCTTCTAAAGGCTTCTAGAGGCTTGTAAAGGCTTGTAAAGGCTTGTGAAGGCTTGTAGAGGCTTGTAAAGGCTTCTCAAGGCTTCTAAAGGCTTGTAAAGGCTTGTAAAGGCTTGTAAGGGCTTCTAGAGGCTTGTAAAGGCTTGTAAAGGCTTGTAAAGGCTTGTGAAGGCTTGTACAAGCTTGTAAAGAACAAAAATCGACTTTACTCGGTCAATTTCCACCAATATTCACATTTAGCCAGACTCGATTCCAATTTTGGGAGATAGCGTCGAACGATTGCACTCTAAAATCAAAGCTATTAATGTAAAACAAGTCAAAAAACTCAAATCTAAGACCTAATCTTGGAATTGAGAGGTTTTAAGAAAAATCTGGAAGCCAGAAGTGGCTAGAGACTTCTCAAAACTACACCAAAGCAACACGAAAACTCGAACTGACTAAAGCTCAAATATTGTGAATCTAAGTAATCGAGAAGTCTCTGTGCGTGCCAGGATTCGATTTAAGCCGCCAGTGAAAATGATTCAATATTGTGGGGGCTGAGAAAAAGCGTCAAACTGCTCAAACGAACATGCACAGCAGCATTGTCGCTCCCGAAACGGTCTCGATAAACCTCGAAACTCTTCGCCCACATCATTAGAAAGTCGCGGCCACGAGGATCATTTCTATGGATAACATTGAAACAAAGTGCAGCCTCACAATCCCCAACCTCACAATATAGGATCCAGTCATGATCTCCGAGTTCATCACTCGATTCGTTAGCACCAGAAAGATCGACTCATTGTTGGGGATGAATTTGTCGATTGAAGTGTCCGGGTTGATCACTCCTGAATTGTGGGACATTAGATTGCCCACTTTTGCCATTGGCAAAGTTTGAGCACAAATATCTTGGCTTTGGGTTGTCCAAACTCAATATTCTTGGCATCATTAGATTCGCCTAGCCTTTCCTCTATCGATTGGTATAAAAAGTATTAAAGTTGGACCACCCAAAGCCGAGATATTCGAGCTCAAAGTTAAGGTGCCAAAAGGGGCGGAGCTAGAAAGACCTTATATACGCGCTTCGTATAATTAGATTCGCCTAGTCTTTCTCTATCGATAGATATAAAAACTATCTATATTGGACAGCTCAAAGCCGAGATATTTGAGCTCAAAGTTTGCCAATGGCAAAAGGGACGAGGCATGTATATAAGGTCTTTCTAGCTCCGCCCCTTTTTCCAATCTAACTTTAAGCTCAAATATCTCGGCTTTGGATTGTCCAATTTAGATACTTTTTATAGCAATCGATAGAGGAAGACTTGAGGCGAAGTTCTAATGATACAAAGGCCGTATAGAAGGTCTTTCTAGCTCCGCCCCTTTTGCCACTAACTTTAAGCTCAAATATCTCGGCTTTGGATTGTCCTGTATCAATAGTTTTTCTACCAATCGATAGAGAGAGACTTGGCGCATCTAATGATACGAGGCGCGTATATAAGGCCTTTCTAGCTCCGCCACTTTTTCCAATCTAACTTTAAGCGCAAATATCTCGGATTTGGGTGGTCCAATTTAGATACTTTTTATACCAATCGATAGAGAAAGGCTTGGCGCATCTAATGATACAAATAAGATCGGAATTCGATAGCCCAACGCCGAGATATTTGAGCTCAAAGTTGAGCTAGCTGATTATAGTCTAACCTGGTCTATTTCAGCCTAAATAAAACCAAATTACTTTCTCAAATCGAGGTAGATCTAGCCTTCCTGGAGGTAGATCGTGCTAGATCTAGTCTTCCTTCTGACCTACTCATAGACCAGAGCCAAATCTAGGTCCGACTCTGGTCCAAGTCTTTCCTAAACCGAAAGCAAGCCTTGATGGCAAGATGGGAATCAGAAAAATGGCAAATTAGAAACAAATTTCTGCGATCTGGAGTACACGAAAGGATTTGGTTAATTGATTTGAGCGGAATTTGCGAGTTTTGAATTCTGAGCCGGGATGGGCTAGCCTAGTCAGCCGGCTGTCAAATGGAGTGTCAAATTGGTGATTTGTGCAGCTCAGAGCTGATCAACTGGGCTCTGGGTGTTGGCAAAACCCTAAGCAGAGTCTCTAGCCCGATAACTAACCCATATCCGCATCCAGCATCACAAACCATTCGTGCTCTGTCGTGTTCATGAAGTTTGCAAGGATACAATGCCGTTGATACATATACTGAATCGCTTTTTTATTCAAATTGGAGGTCAGGAAAGGTTTTGGGACTGGAAAGGGACTGGAAAAGGACTTTCCGGACGACCAGATTTGTTAGTTTCGAGTTCAAGTCCAGAAATCTGTTCAAAACTGTTTACTAGCCAATTCAAACGATTTTTTGGTTTTTCTGGAGGTCACCTGAAACTCGAAAAGATTAAAATCGTTGATTTTGAATGATTTTTCAATTTCCATTTCCTCAAACTCACATCTTCCATTGCACATCCTTTCACATTCTCTTCATCGTTCACAAGCAAATAATAAGGGATTTTCCTCGATTCACAATAGCATTTCACTGTTTTTTGAGCAAATTCGTACTCAGCAATGTTATCTCGATTTTTCAACAACGCCACAAAAGCATACGAAACATCCTAAAGCTATGAAAGTTCAATTTTTTCAATCTTGACCTTCACGAAATCTATTAAACTTTTTAGATACAGTGACATCCAGATTGATGGTATTTCTTAGAAATTACAGAGTTTATTTGGAAAATTTTTAAAAAATCGATGAGAACTTGAAAATCCATAAAAAATTTTTTAAATCAACGGTTTAAGTCTCAAATTTCAAATCTTTCAACTCTGTGACATCCAGGTTGAGCATATTTGCTGGAAATTATAAACCAGACTTGGAAAATTTTCAAAAAATCAAGGAGAACTTGAAAGTTCTAAAAAAATTTTTTTAATTCTGGATTTCACAAAATCTATTCAACTTTTTAGATCCAGTGACATCCAGATTGATGGTATTTCTTAGAAATTAGAGAGTCTATATGGAAAATTTTCAAGAAATCGAGCAGAACTTGAACAGTTAAAAAAAATTTTTTTTAATCCTGGATTTCACAAAATCTATTAAACTTTTTAGATGCAGTGACATCCAGATTGAGCATATTTGTTAGAAATTACAGACTTTATTTGGAAAATTTTCAAGAAATCGAGGAGAACTTGAAAGTTCTAAAAAAATTTTTTAATTCTGGATTTCACAAAACCTATTCACCTTTTTAGATACAGTGACATCCAGATTGATGTTATTTCTTGGAAATTAGAGACTCTATTTGGGAAATTTTCCAAAAATCGAGCAGTACTTTAAAATCAACGATTTGAGTTTAAAATTTCAAATCTTTCAACTCTGTGACATCCAGATTGAACATATTTGCTGGAAATTATAGACCAGACTTGGGAAGTTTTTAAAGAATCAAGGAGATCTTAAAAGTTATAAAAAAAATTTTTTAAATCCTGGATTTCACAAAATCTATTAAACTTTTTAGGTATCGTGACATCCAGATTGAAGTTATTTCTTAGAAATTACAGACTTTGTTTGGGAAATTTTCCAAAAATCGAGCAGTACTTGAAAATTCTTCAAAAACTCAGAAGTCCTTTCGAATTCTAGCTCAATTCTAGCTATTTTCCTAGAATTCTAGCTCAATTCTAGCTATTTCAACTCTGTGACATCCAGATTAAACAAATTTGCCAGAAATTTGCCCAGAAAATCGTACCCTCTTCGGCGTAGGTTGGATAAAAGTCGAGCTATTCAAGAAATCGAAGAGTAAATTGTGGGATGAGATCGGCGACGAAAGATCATCTGAAATTCGGACGCTGTGCATGCCAGCTTAGCCGAAAATCCCCAAAAACAAACCTCTTTTAAAGTATTGTACAAGTAAAAAGAGGCTCGACACGACGGAGAAGAGTAAAACGAAAAAGAAACGTTTTCTTTTGATCATTACATCTGAAAATGAAGGGAATTCGTTTTTAAAATGATTCGATTTATTTTTTGAATTAAAAAAGCTCGTTTGTAAGATAAAAAAAGCTGAAATTCATTGAAAACACGCGAAATTGGTTGTTTTTTAAATCTTAAACGATTCCTAAGCCTAAGCCTGAGCCTGAGCTCTGAGCCTGAGCCCTAGCCTGAGCCCTAGCCTGAGCCTAAGCCTGAGCCTGAGCCTGAGCCTGAGCCTAAGCCTAAGCCTAAGCCCCTGAACGAGTCGTCCAACTTTGAAAGCCCATATCTTTGTCCAGAGATTATCTTATGCCAAACCTTTTTATATCATTGAATAGAGGAGATTTTAGGCTTTCGATTGACACTAAATAGAGCTTGTTTGGCGTTTTGCATTCCTATAAAAACCAGGTTACACTGGAGCTGAGTTGGATCGGCCTCCCTTCCCTCATTTCCTTTGATTTTTCTAGACTGGATTACCCAATCAAGCTTTATTTAGTGTCAATCAAAAGCCTGAAATCTCCTCTACTCAAACATCTAAAGAGTCAGCTCTAATCTTATCACTAGACAAAGTTATAGACCTTTCAAGTCTGACACCTCATCGGATCGGCCTCCCTTCCCACATTTCCTTTGATTTTTCTAGACTGGGTTACCCAATCAAGCTTTATTTAGTGTCAATCGAAAGCCTAAAATCTCCTCTATTCAATGATATAAAAGGTTTGGCATAAGATAATCTCTGGACAAAGATATGGGCTTTCAAAGTTGGACGACTCGCTCCGGAAAGTCGACTAGCCCAACAATTGACTAAATTTGACTTTTCTAAACTTTTAAAAAGCTTTTTGCTATCAGATTTCCTAAAATAAAGAGTATTTAGTTGAAAAATAAGAATAAAATCAAAAAATAAAGGCAAAATAAAGAAAAAAGAACAGAATTTGTGATGACTTTTCGAAAATCGATGAAAAAAAACGAATTTTGAATGAAATTGATGATTTCTATAAGGAATTTGATAAAATGCTCAACAAATGCCAAAAGATTTTCCCCAAATTCCCTCTCTCCTGTTCCCCTTTTCTATTCAAAAATTGTCGGGGATGTGCTGAGTAAACAAAAGGAGAGAAAGCGATGGTTTTTGGGGGTTTTCAGCGGTTTTCAGCGATTTTCAGCGCTTTTCAACGGCCCCCTCACTTTTTGAGGACTCTCATCAGAGAAAATGGCAAAACAAGCCCGAATTTCTTCGATCTGGAGTACACGAGCGCGCTTGCTAAATCGATTTTCGCGAGATTTTCGATTTTTGGGTTTTGAGACTCGGCTCGGCTTCTAGTTGAATAAAAATCGTTTTTTTCTGGCGTAGAAGGGTCAAATTCGCTTTCAGATTAACCCTTTTAGGCTTAGAATGACTGAAAATGACTGAATGACTCTTAAATCAATAGAATTTGACATGAAAAATAGAAACTCAAATTTCCCCCAACCACCAACAAACAACCGGCTAATCCTCTAAACCAAAATCGATTTGAAAAGTGTTTGTGAGCTGAAACTAGCGTCAAAAAGCGGTAAAAAGCTTTCCGTGATATGGAAAAAAGCCTTCCGGATGTTATTCTGTTTGTTTAAGAATTGGAAAAAGCTAAGCGCTCGAGGTGGACTCGAACCAAAGCTGAGAGCTTCGACTTTTAGGAGAGCTGGTTCCGTTTGACAGCGACAGCGTTTGACAGCTACAGCGTTTGACAGCAACAGCTAGCCATTGTGCCACAGAGGCTGGACCGCTAGTTAGAGGTAAAAAACTTTCTTGATCTGGAAAAAAGTTATTGCGTTTTTTGAGGCTTGGGAACTTTTGGCCATGATAAAGAAGCTGTCAATCTCTCAGAAATTCGTCTCCAAAGCTCTAGTGACTTCCAGAACTACATTTTATCCAATCAACGATCCAGTTTAGTTACCCAAACGGCTCTTTTCGATCCGGTTCAGTTACGCAACTTTTGACTATCATCCAGAAGCTGTCAATCTCTCAGAAATTTGTCTCCAAAGCTCTAGTGACTTCCAGAACTACATTTTATCCAATCAGTGACCCGATTTAATTACCCAAACGTCTCTTTTGGATCCGGTTCAATTACGCGACTTTTGATCGAAGTTCGAACCAGCCGGGAGGGGTGGGTTTCGCTGGACAGCCGAACGCGTTAACTATTGCGCCACAGAGGATGTCGTCTGGATAGCTAGCTAGAGGTAGAAAGCTTTCCTGACATGGGAAAAAGTTTTTTGAGAATTAAGAGCTTGGGGCGGACTCGAACCAGCCAGTAGGGGCGGCTTTGCTTGACAGCCGAACGCGCTAACCATTGCGCCACGGAAGTTGGTCGTCTCAGCGGCTAGAAAGAGCTGTTAAACAATCGAAGTTTCTAAAAAATGAAAAAGTTCGACGCCAGGCGGACTCGAACCACCACCACCCCAACAGCCGATAGTTTGACAGCCAAGCGCGCTAACCATTACACCACGGAGGCTTGCCAGTTCGTCGGCTAGAAAGCGCTCTTAAACAATCGGCTTCTTGATTTAGGCCTTATAAAAGACCAAAAAAGATCCAAATTTCAAGAAAATCACTTGTTTTTTGTTTAGAAACCCAATTTTTTGCCTCTATTTCTTTTCCAAGCTTTCCAAAATTTCAACTAAAACGCAGCAATGGTTTTTGGGAGATTCTTGAGCTTTCTAGGCATTTTGGAGCTTTCTAGGCTATTCTTGAGCTTTGTAGGCTATTCTGGAGCTTTCTAGGCTATTCTGAAGCTTTGTAGGCTATTCTTGAGCTTTGTAGGCTATTCTGGAGCTTTGTAGGCTATTCTTGAGCTTTCTAGGCTATTCTGGAGCTTTCTAGGCTATTCTGGAGCTTTCTAGGCTATTCTTGAGCTTTCTAGGCTATTCTTGAGCTTTCTAGGCTATTCTGGAGCTTTCTAGGCTATTCTTGAGCTTTCTAGGCTATTCTGAAGCTTTCTAGGCTATTCTTGAGCTTTGTAGGCTATTCTTGAGCTTTCTAGGCTATTCTTGAGCTTTCTAGGCTTTCTAGGCCAAAATCTAGTCCATTTTCACTCAATTTTCCACGTAATTTGATGCGATTTAAGCTTTAAAAACAGGGAAAATTGATGAAAATTGATGAAAAACGTGAAAAACGCTGAAAAACGCTAAAAGAACGAAATTTTCGTTGTTTAGACTTTTAAAATTGAAAAAATTAAGAAGAAAATAGGAAAACTGACAAGGAAATCGATTTCTTTTCGTTTCTTTTCGTTTCTTTTTGTTTCTGGTTCGTTTCTTTTTGTTTCATTCCTTTGTTTTTGCATTATTCACAAATTTTGCCATAAAAAAATCAAGAATTTAGAAAATATTAAAGAAAAAAATACGCTTAATTCGAGAATCGAAAAAAATCGAAAAAAAACGGACAACAAGAGAACGAAAGAAAGATTCTAATGAAAGAATTGCTTTTAGAAGATCGTAGGAAGATCTTCAGATGAAGATTTCCCCTCCGAGAAGGCTTTGGTTTTGATTTTCATTGCAATTTTCATTAATTGTAATACTAGAATTGAAAAATTCGCGATTTAGAGATTTTTAACAGCTTAATTGCCTTAAAAAAAGAGAAAAATAGCTATTTTTAACAGCTTAACCCAGAGAAAACTATCAATTTCCCCGAAAAGGAATTAGGATTGAGGGGAAAATGAAGGGATTTTAAAGCAAGAATGAATCGGTGCCTAGCAACACTCGATGGACACTCGACTGATGACAAAAAAGCCAAATTCTTCTGGTCAACTATTGCTTTTTTAGAGAGAAATGTGAAATCTGGAAGTCACTGGAGTTTTGGACACGAATTTCTGAGAGATTGACAGCTTCTGGATGATAGTCAAAAGTTGCGTAATTGAACCGGACCGAAAAGAGCCGTTTGGGTAACTAAACTGGAACGCTGATTGGATAAAATGTAGTTCTGGAAGTCACTGAAGCTTTGAAGACGAATTTCTGAAAGATTGACAGCTTCTGGATGATAGGCAAAAGTTGCGTAATTGAACCGGTACCAAAAGAGCGGTTTGGGTCACTAAACCGGATCGTTGATTGGATAAAATGTGAAATCTGGAAGTCACTGAAGCTTTGAAGACGAATTTCTGAAAGATTGACAGCTTCTGGATGATAGTCAAAAGTTGCGTAATTGAACCGGATCGAAAAGAGCCGTTTGGGTAGCTAAACCGGATCGTTGATTGGATAAAATGTAGTTCTGGAAGTCACTAGAGCTTTGGAGACAAATTTCTGAGAGATTGACAGCTTCTAGATCATAGGCAAAAGTTGCGTAATTGAACCGGACCGAAAAGAGCCGTTTGCGTAACTAAACTGGAACGCTGATTGGATAAAATGTGAAATCTGGAAGTCACTGGAGCTTTGGAGACGAATTTCTGTAAGATTGACAGCTTCTAGATCATAGTCAAAAGTTGCGTAATTGAACCGGACCCAAAAGAGCGGTTTGGGTAATTAAATCGGATCGCTGATTGGATAAAATGTGTATTCTGGAAGTCACTGGAGAGGAATCTCTCGAAAAAGTTGCAAATTCTAAACAAAGAGAAAAAGTTGATTTTTTTATGGTATTGCGTAATTGAACCGGCTTAAAACATCGGTGATTGAACGAAATTTGACGAAAAAAACTTTATTTATTCAATCGATGGATAGCATTTTGCATTTTTAGAGAAGCCTCTGCCCCATAAATGTGTTATCAGTCGCCTTCACTCTGTGCTTGTTTGCGCTTTGTCTTTCGTTTTGTCGTTCTGTATCATTTAACATTTTAAAGCTTTGAAACTGATTGTGTAGCTTTGTCAAAATTTCAGAAAATCGAATCAAAGGCTTGACCTGACCAAACGATTTCTCTGTGCCAAAATAGTGACAGCACAAAGGAGTTCTCTGTGCGGCCCTGCAATCGCTCTCCATCTGGCACACGGCTCTAGCATTAGGCCTTCCCTTTCGGACCATAGCCGTCTCTCTTTTTTTAGGTGTCACTATTCGTCT